ATGGTAAAATTAATTTTTATAACGATCGACCTATATTCCTAGAAAGATCGACTGGTTGGCGACCCCTGCTATATAATATAAGGCCATCAAATTTTAAATTTATAATAATAACTGTATAATAAATACAAAACAATTTTAATTGAATAAAAATATATACATGTTAATATGTTATGATTTATGAATGATCCGTGAAAATAAATTGCAAAAACTACATTAACTTTTCTATCATTTTAATTTTAATATGAATTCATTAATTAGATCAGTGGTTTCCAACCTTTTGGTTACTGTACAGCAAAGTGATACGCAATTGTCTACCTTTTTTTTTCAACTACTTTTAAACAAAATAGCTTGTGTATATTGAATTTTGATCTAATTATTTTTTTCTACATTTGATATTGTATTCAGTATTGTAAGCAAATGTTAAACAACATTACAAAATAATTCTAGATTCTATTAAGACTAAATAGAAATAAATAGTTTATATTTTTTATCGTTAAGAAAACAAAGGTGTCTTAAATTTAAAAAAAATATTGCTTATGAGCGTTTTAATAATTGGATTCAAGGTATATTAGTTATGTTTAGAATCATTTAAAATACTAATATCAGCCCACCACTAGGCCACCTATGTCAGCAATCCTTAATCTAAAAACTTGATATTCATGATTAATATTTCTCTGTATCTCAACATTTATATATATATATATCTAGTATTCAATCTATAAATTTAATTATGGAAAGTGGATTAATAAATCATATAATACTTTAGTATTTTAATTGTTTTAGACTAAAACTTTTAATATATTATCAGCTTATAATTAATTGCATGTGAAATTTCAAATATTTAATTATAAAACAAACATTATTAACTTATTTTAAAATACTGTGCATATCTGCAATATTCAATACAGGTAACACATTTTTACAAAAAAAAAATATAATTAACACAATTAATATAATAAGTTATATTGAGGAACTTTAGAAAATTGTTTTATTTTTAATACATTAAAATTAAAAAAATATCAAGAAAAATATATTTTAAATATAATTTTTTAAAATTTTTAAAAATATTGAAATATATAAAATATTTTATTTAAAAGAATTGCAATTTTTGTAATTGCATAAAATGAAATGAGAAAGCATATTTAAAAAATAAAATAAAACTTGTATCGGTGATAAAAATTATTTAATTTTTTAAAACTTTTTATTATATTTTTTTTAAACAAAATTCTATTTAAAATATCTGTAACAATTAGAACAATAAGCTTAAGTTATAAGTGATAAAAAAAATAAACAAAAGACACAAGGAAGAGACCTCCCATTGGAAGTATTTCAGCGTGAGCATAAATTTAGTATAGAGATCCTAAAAATTAAAAACAATAGTACAACAACCACATAATAATAATAATTAATAAATATCATAGCTGAAGTATTATTATATTTAAATGCCAAACGATTAATAAAGTATTTTGTATAGGAATGACAATGAGAGGCTTATGAGAATATAATATAGACAATTAGACTTATTCGATTTTTTAGATGTTTGCAGTGTTAATGACAAATTAAAATAAATAAAAATAGATGCAAGGAAATAATTTTTATTTTGTGATAGTCAATTAATAGATTTCATATTTTTATTAATTATTTCTTGTTCCTTTTTCCAATTAACTTAATTTACATATTATTATGAAATTAATTAATCAGCAATATTACAATATTACCTAATTGTGGAACAAGTTTTTTTATAATTTACTTTTATTTGAAAGTTTTATAAAGGTATATAAAAAATATCTGAATACAATTGAGGGTTGTTTTGTGGCGTGGCGAGAAATATATATAACCTTGTGTATTATAACAAACAAATATCCCTGTCTTTTGTGAAATTTTTCCTAAAGAAATTAATAAAAATGGAGAAAATGAAAGTAATATAATGTATAAACAAAAATATTTGACTTAATAAAGGAAAGTATAATTTTAAAATAAATATTCAAATAGGTAATATTGAATAATAACTTACCTTAAATTCAGATGTTTGGATAGATTGACGAACTTCGCTAGGATTTGTCATATTGAAAATACTTTCAGTTTCTTTGTCAAACCAATGTTTTTCAGGTTGTCCTGAACTTGAAATCGCTGAACTATTACGCAATCTTCGCTCTCCAGAACTTGGCGGTGGTGGTAATTTTGTTAACGTAGTAGACGGAGTAACAATAAAGGAATCTCCAAAAGGGTCAGCTGACGGTGGGGTAATACTTTCCATTTGAGACAACCCTTGTTGTAAATTATTTAGTTCAAGTTCCAAGTTCAATAAGTCATTAGCATTTGGAGTTGTATTTTTAAACTCAGATTTGTCTATACTTGACAAATCACGATTGAATCTTTTAGAACCATCATCATTACAACTAGCCTATTGTACAATAAAAGTAAATTATAAATTAATAAGGATATCAAAAGGTATATATGACTGATAACAGGTTAAATATATAAAACTACTAACGTGATCAACTTTTGATGCTGTACTAGCAAGTGCTTCAAGATAAAGTCCACTGCCTTTCATAATTTGTTGCTGCCTAGTCATTTCTATTTCTTGTTTTTTTAACTCAAAAACTGTTTGAAAAAGATCTCTCATAGTAATAACAACCTGAAAATAATACATGCTTGAATCACAGAAATTAAACAAAATATGTTTCAGATATTACCTGGCTTGCAGCTTTATCTGTTTTTATACCAAAAAATCTATGGCCAGTGTCAGGGGAACCAAATATATATCCAAATGCTCTAGAGTCTACCATATCTTGTGCTATGAATGATATCTTATGTATAGGATGGTGAAATAAACAATCCTATAATTGGGAATACATTTAAACACATTCTAAGTAATTCATAATTTTCACCTACCCCAGTCTTTTCATCCCTCAATTTAAGTCCATCAATTGCTACATTTATGGTAATGCGCTGCTTGTGCTCTCCAGCGGCCCTTATCGCCATCTTCAAGTCAAACAACGCTTCTTGGCACATTCTATCCCCTCGAGCCTCACTGACTTCCAATATACCAATAAGTTTGGCTTTGAAACTAACTCCATCACCCATAAATCGTATAKCACCACCTTTATCGGCTATAAATAAAAATAAAAATAAATTATCAACTTATTAATAATAGATAATAATAACAATGTATCGTTGAATTTGTTGAACGAGATCTAAAGTCTAGTAGATACACCATTACACTATAATATTATATCTTTAAAAACAAAATGTCATTATCAATATTGTTCATACGATAAATCGAGTGAAATTGAACTACACGGTTACTGGACGACGAAAACAATGGTGGGAAACTTACATTTGAACGGACTATTTTTCCGCCTAAGAGTCAGGGTTTGCATGGTTGTGAATAAAAATTACGAGTGCCGTGCAATGTGTCTGTTCGTCGAATATTGTGCGATACGTATTTCGTACATTGTCTGACAGACAGAAGTCCGTGAAATTTTTCCTATCGAAAACGTTTTCAACTGCGGGTAAAACTCACGTACGGCTGCTGATGGGGGAGGGGGTTGACGGGCCATCCACCCAGTGGCGAAATTAATCAATATTACTCAGTCTGTACGGCAACATGGCGAAAAAGTTGCACTGCACGCAACCCCGTTAAGGGTATATTTTTTTTTAAGTGATCGAAGTCTCGAACCACAGACATCAACGTATCGCGTTAAGGAAGTTGATTCGTTCCACCCCCACCGCGACGACTGTCACACGGGGTAAATGATTTTGTAAAGGAAATAACCATTTTGTGGAGGTCTCCGACAAGTTGGCGGGTGAAATCGTCGATATCGATAATCTACTTTTATACGAAACACGAGAGCGCGCACGATATGATATCGCATTATCGCCCAAGTCCGATTGCAAAATCGTATTATTTTTGTTCGATTGAGCACAATTTATTAATTATTCAATTATTCATACTTATAATAATATTGTCGATGACTTGTGTATTGCATAAGTGTGTACTAAGGTATATTTAAAAACGTWTAATATTATGTCGCGCTTCTCCAACATAAATATTGTTAAAATTCAACGCGCGTATTTTCGTATGTGCTGTTTTTAATGAACAATTGGCTATTGTAGGTATATTATACACACAACAATGCTACACACGTCATACACCTTCCTCAAAGACTTCCGTAGCCCACCACCGACACCCCTTTAGTTATTTTTTATTTTTTAGGACTTATTTTAACTTATTTTCCAAACTAAAATTACGCGAGTGCGATTCTAGATTGATATCTAAAAACAAATATCACTGGTACAAAATTTATGGTGAATATGGCTGAATTGGTTCATCAAAGATTTGAAATACAACGTCAATCATTTCGATACTGATCAATTATTTCAATCCCCATTAAACAGATAAATAAAAATACTTCTGTTTTAAATATTACTCCAACTTAATATAATATAAATCATTGAAAATGTAAACCTAATACTATTTATACCTTGTTTAACAATACATTGAAATATGCACATATTTTTTACACTTTTGCATCCCTCTTCAAACTTTTTCTCAAGTCAACTCTACCATTACTATGGGTAGACAGTTTTATTTTTGAACTTTGTCTTATCAATATATCAGAAGGTCAGTATAATGAACTGCCTATTAAATAATTTACTTTTAAATACATTATGCACTTTTCATCATATTATTAAAGTTAGTTATAATTTATATATAATTATATGGTAATTTGATCAATTTTACATTTTTACTTATTCATTTATTAAAAAAATGTTCATACTTATTCATACCACAAATAAAATTAAAAAATAATAAACCTTAAAAATTAAATCAATTGCATAAGTTTTTTTTTAAATACTTAATGAAAAATGATACTACTTTTTAAATCATTCAATGAAATACATGTAATATTATGTAGATATCACTTTCTTTAATTAATTAGCATAATAATATTTTATTATGCTATCTATTTTCATAAATATCATTATAATTACAACTATTAATATTGAAATAATTAAAATATTAAGGATATACCCGAAGAATACCTGGTATAAATATAAATAAAATATTAGAATTGTAAATTATGTAGTTCAACCATTGATAAAATACAAAAATGTAATATGATAAAGAGAAAAAGTAACCTATCCCACTATTTGCTTAAACACTATTATATACCACATTAAATATAAATAAAATGATAGTTTAAGAAAATTAAGTTGGTTAATTTAATCCCTAGTAAATAAATTAAAACATAAGATGGATTGAAAATATTGTCAAAATTGTCATTGGTGTTGTTATTTAAGTATGATTGTAAGATGGTTTAAAAATAATAGTTTTTTAATACATAATATAACATTGAGAGTTGCGTTTTAGTAAGTGTGTAGAACACCTACAAATTATAGCTTAACATTATACTATTATAGATAAGTAAACATGTATTATGTTAAACATTTTTATACCTTTAACTTTAACTGRTTGTCTATTAACATTTTTCAATGTTCTAAATGATTCTTTAATTTGGATGAACCCTCTTTTTGGAACTTCTTTCAATGAATGCAATTTGTTTTCCTTGTTATCGTTCTGGTTCTCCGAAGATTTTGTGTGTGTTGATGTAGGTCCCTTGGCGTTTTCCATTTATTATTAACACATTAAAATATTATAGTTATTTGATAAAAAATAATTAAAACAATTTAGCTCTAGATAAGTTACAGTTTTGTCATTCAAAAAGAAATTACCATATAATAAAATATGTCAACATAAATATTGTAAATCATTATCCATTAACAAGGGAAAAAATTATCATTCAAATAAAAACGAAATTATTGATTTTATTTATTATTTACTATTATACCAGAAGCTGAACGTTATCATTTACTTTGTTTTATTAGATAAACACTACTAGGGTAGCCAACCTTAAAAAAAAGTATTAACAGTATTCCCTAACTACTACCACTACTACTGCTACTACCAGTGTTACTGCTATCAATATTATTTGAATTATCCAAAATATATAATTTATTCGCCATACGGTGATATTAGCAGCTGCAAAAGACATGTGTATTACTACTATTACTGTATTACTGGGTTGTGTACAAGGTACAACCATAACGTCTATAACCATTGATTATAAATAGGTACAATTTTAATAGCATTTATAACAAATGATTCTACTTGTCTTCTACTAAACCAATAATACAATTGTATATATTGTACAAGTTTATATATATATATAATATATTTATATTAGGTACACTACATAGTAACAAACTGACGGCTATTTTTCTGGAACAAATCTAAATTTTTGGAAAAAAAAGTATTATTGCTAAAATGTTTGATTTAAGTGGTTTAATCAGGGGAAATAGATTTTTTATTGTAAAATATATTTCTTAGTACTTATACTTTCATAGTTATAAAATGATTAAATTACATGCAAACATAAAAAACAAATAYCTGACAAAACGCAATTTACATTTTGCTTAATGTTTTTTATAGTATGTCGAAGTTTTAAGAGGACGTCTCATCCGCAAGTGTTGCCTCCGTCTTACACATCTACTATATAGATATCAAAGTTTCGTTTATTAGTTTCAATAGTGTGCTGTCATTTTGATATTATGAGTTATGAGTACCTGTGTAAAGTAAAAATATTTGTAAATTGCAGATTAGTTTCGTAACTCATTTAAAAATTTAAATATCGTAAAAAATCAACGAGAGAAACTAGATAATTTTCTTACATAAGAGTTCAGTAATGAGTCAATTCGTTCTAATATCAAAATTAACAGAACACTATTGAAACTAGTGAATGAAAATTTTATATTTAATACGTGTGCAAAACGGAGACAAGTAGACAACACATGCGATTGAGACATTTCCTTGATGAAATAAGGCAAAGATTTTAAGTATAATTTACATGTGATAATTGATTGCACATCTTTTCTTAAATGGGAATTTTTGATTTATACGAGCATCATAATAAATTTAGGTATTCGTTATATTTAATTTTTATTAATTTWAAAAAAAAATTTTACATTCTTTTCTAAGTATTTAAGACGTGTGTTATCACAAGGGTACTAGCGATCGGCTTTTAAAGCACTAAAAATAACTGAAATATGCACTGTAAAATTACCTAAAGACATGAAAACAATTGAAAATAAGTCAAGTTTTTAAAAAAAATATGCAAAACGTACGACAGAATATTTTAGAAAAAATATATTAATACCAATACGAGCCTTACAACTGATAAGGAGTCATCTAAATTGTTTAATGTTTGATAGGTCATTTCGCCGGACTGAAATAGATTTTAATATGAACAAAAATGTGATATTTATCATTTWACTTATGGATTCAAATGAAATTCAAAATAAAATAAAAATATATTATGACACTCTTTTATTTTTCATACCACAAAAAATGAAAAAGATTCATGAAAATAATTAATAATAAAAAATTATATAATGCAACATAGCAAAACAAATAGCACAACAATTTGATAAATAGCACTAAAAATTTAAAATATTTTAAKTAAGCAAAAATAGTGTTATGAAATTTAATGATTCGAGTCCCTGATGCACACAACAAATTTAAAGATCACCCTAATATTTTATCTGTATCCTATTACAATTAACAAATGCTAAAAAAGCTTTGGTTATTAGTAATTAAATATTTTACAATATTTATTATAATCATAAAAATACATAAAGAACTTGGTTGATTTGAGAATAGGATACAGAAACACAAGTGTCTATTTTTATATTATTCTTTAATATAATAATAAGCTATAGTATTTAAAGCTAATAAATAAATAACAATCTTGTTGCCATAGCAAAAATAAGTGTTGAAAAATATATTATCGTGATAAATTATTTCATACTTAATTTACTATTTGAAACGGTCACATATTATACTTCGTTAATTTGTTATTAAAAGTTATTAAGTATATTTSTATTCTTGTACCTATAGAATTGTTGAGATATATTAAGTGTTACTTAATTTTATTAATCAAAACAACCGTAATATTTAACGATCATGTCAATTATCCGCGATGAATTGAAGATGTCAAAAGGTGATAATACGCAGAATGCRTCGTCCAAAAATGATCTGAGCGTTTTCAACGATATTCAGGGAAGTACGTTGCAGGTTTTATCTGATCTCCGTACGAATCAGCCAAAAGATCTGGAAAGTCATGGGCCCGTGGATTTATCGCTGAGCAGAAGATATCATTCAATGCCCAATATGGCATTGCTTCAGACATCTTCTGTCGCCGAGAACTGCCCCGAAGAGTCGAATGTCACGATGATGGATACACTGTCCAGTGACTCATCAAAGCTAGAGGATTCAGTGATGGTGACTCCAGACGAACSWASTRMAGGACCRATCCCTACAATTATAGCGGCTTATGAGAGTCCGACATTTTGTTATCATATTGGATTCATGAGTGCAGCGACACCAGTGATGCCTGCCATTACAGCATCTGAAATTCATGTCGAGAATTCGCTACCACACAGACGAGCAGTATCGATGCCCAACATTTCAATACAGTTTGGTGAGGTCGAATCTGGAGGCGGCTTGACAAAATGTCCAGAATCAGTTGATTTCCTGGAACCGACAATCGACGTCGGCTGTAGTGACGATGCAGAGCCGACGATAACCCCAGTTATTGCAAAGCGACGTAAATCRTTTTGGAGTAGGACAAAGAAATTCTTCCTGCTAATGATTTGTTGCGGCTCTAGTAACATGCCAATCGATTAAATGTTAATTATTTTACAATATATAATATATGATGCAATGCGTATAATTWAATAATATTATCTATTTAATCGTGTTGTATATTAACGAAACTTTTCAAATTAATTTAAGTTGAAAATAAAATATTTATTTTTGCATCTAAAATTTTAATATTGAATATCAGATACCTTAAAAGCTTATATAAATATATATCTATTGTCTACTTTAAACAATTTGAATGTTTTGACAGTCGACACGAACAATATGTAAATTTCCAAATTTTTATTTGATTTTTAAATCATTACATTTAGTTTACATTATCTATACATACGACTACTATCAAAGTTTTAATATTATGGTAGGTAATTAAAAATAAAATTTGTWTTTATATGAACMCTTTACTTGAAAAGGATTTGTATCAATGATATATACTTGTCTAGGATTTCGGTGGCATATTCTTCATTCATTTATTTTTAATGCTAACTTAGTGGCCAAATTCTAAACATATCAAAATCATCAATTTCTAAATGTACGCAAGGGCAATGTTTTTAAAAACTAATTGTCATACAAATGATTCTCGTTACACTCAGTTATGCATAGATTTTAASTAATATTTCTTTTGTTGTAGTTTATACGAAAACCGTGACTTTCACAAACCCTGTACTATCCATACGTTGCAATTATCACCATCATAGGTACGTATGACTGTTTGAGTGGTTATAACTGTAATGTATGAATAGCACAGGGTTTGTGAAAGTCACGGTTTTCGTATAAACTACAACAAAAGAAATATTACTTAAAATCTATGCATAACTGAGTGTAATGARAATTATTTGTATGACAATTAGTTTTTAAAAGCATTGCCCTTGCGTACATTTAGAAATTGATGATTTTGATATGTTTAGAATTTGGCCACTAAGTTAGCATTAAAAATAAATTAATGAAGAATATGCCACCGAAATTTTAGACATTAGACAAGTATATATCGATACAAATCCTTTTCAAGTGAAKTSTTCTTATAAAAACAAATTTTATTTTTAAGTACCTACCATCATACTAAAAAAACTTTGATAATAGACGTATGTATAGATAATGTAAACTAAATGTAATGATAAATCATATAGAATTTTCGAAAATACATATTGTACGTCTCGACTGTCAAAACATTCAAATATTGCTTGGTTAAAGTAGACGACAGATATATATTTATATGAGCTTTTAAAGTTTCTAATATTGAAAATTAAAATTTTAGATATAAWGAGAAATATATTAATATATATAAATTAATTTGAAAATTTTCGTGATTATATCGATTTTTTTCAAAATCCTAACTTACTCATAAAAATATATTCTGAATTTTCGCTATATATATTTTTTTTAATTACATTAAGAACAACCGCCTTATGAGACTTTGTATTACATTTTCATGTTTATTCAAATATTGAAAGATTATTTATTGATGAAAAAAAATTATTATTCAAAGTTCCTAATTTAATAAAAAAATAAACTAGCTATAAATTATGGCGCCGAAGTCCTATAAATCTATAATAGGGCGAAAAACAATTCAAGATGCCTTATATCTTAATATCGGTAAAAATGGAATACCGTGGAGAGGAAAGTGTCAATATGAAGCGGCCCTATCCTAAATTTTCAAAATGTAACCTAAACTGGTTCGGCTATACTGGTCATAACCGTGTTATTTCCCCCTGTCATAATCATGTTACTTTCCCTTGTCTCTTTTACAGCTCATTCCGCCCATTAATAWTTTTATTTGTTCATTTAAAACTTTTAAATAACACCTACATACAACGTCGTCTTCTCATCAGCTACAACACCTGCATCGCAGAACTCCATCGAAACTTCGGTCACCCCGTGGTTCGTGTCGCGAGCTAAACGCCGCATCTACACACGAGACCCAGTGGAGCCAGAGGAATCCGATGCGTTGTTTATGGTGTGAACTGGTCATTTTTAAATGAGTTACGAGTGTGTAAATTAAAAATATTATTGAAAATTACACAGGAGTCCTGTAATTCATTTAAAAATTGCACATCTTCTTAAATGGGAATTT